AGTAAAACAAAAAGAAAGAACAAGAAACAATACAGAGCAAAAAGAAGAAACATCAATTATACAACAAATTGAAAAGCATTAAAACATATTGCAAGAAATATTAAAGAAACTTAACAGTTTAGACAATAGGCAGATAAATCCTGCCTATAGCTCCTGAAAGGCACTCTAGTTGAATCAAAGAACCAGAGTACAGAAAGATTAGATGTTTTAGAAATAATAAAAAATAATAAAATAGTTCTTTCTAATTAAGAATTAATATACAAAGAAGCATCATTAATAGAGTCAATTAGAAAAAGCAACTTGGAACTAAACATCACATGTTATAATATTAATGGAATAAAAAGTAACAGTTACAAAATAGAATTAATATACAAATGAGTTTTGAACAATAAGATTAATATACTAGGTCTGGCAAAAACAAATATTAGCAAAAAAAAAGGTTTTTTTATTGCAAAAGATCTGAACAAATATAGAAGTTTCTGGTCAGATTCAAATGCATCAAAAAAAAAAGACTCAGAAGTTGAAATATTAGTAGAAGAAAGATAAGAAAGACATCTTGGACAAATAGATAAAGTCAACAAATATATGATAGTAGCAAACTTTATATTTAAGCAACTAGAACTTATAGTTATAATGATATATATGCCACCTAACAACAAAGAAAAACAGTAAAGAATCCAAAAGACAATCATAGAAAGATATATTAAAAGAACTTACTAAATATAAATAGTAATCATGAATGACTTAAACTGCATTGTTGATTTAAAGCTAGATAGGTCTAGTATTTTAAAATACAGCCTTTTTAAAAAAGAACTAATTCTAAAATGACTAATCAGTCAGAATTACAAAGACTTTATCAGAATAGAAAATCCAAGAAGTAAGAAATTTTTATAGACAAATAAAAATCCAGTACAAGAATTGACCAATTTTGAATAACAAAAGAGCTTGCAAGTAGACTTATCGATGCAAAGATTTAAGATATATCTAACTGCACAAATAGTAACCATAATGCAGCAATTGCAAAATTAGAATTAAATTATATAGCTGCATGGCATAAAGTGTCAAAACTCAAGAAGTTAGAACAATATCAAACAATTTTTTTATATAAAAAAGCAGCAAAAGAGAATTAAAAAAAATATAAAGAAGAATTAAACAGAATGCTTAAAAATAAAAATCTAGCACAAAGAATAAAAAAAAGTAGATTAGAATATACAAAAAAGTCTAAAGAAGACTTAAATGGAATATAGAAAGCTATAAGTAGAAGTATATTAGAAGTAGCAAAAAAGACAATACCAAAGAAAAAAGTTCTAAATACTACTAAAAACAAAAAGAACAATAAAGGAAAAAAAACTAAGCTAACTAAAGCATTATCACAGCTAGGAATATGAATTAACTTAGGAAAGAAAAATGTCAAATTAGATTTGACTTCTAAAAATATAGAAAACTTTAATATTATAGCAGAATATATAAATGAGCAATATAAAACTAGCATAGAAAAAATTACAAAGATATGGACAGAAGAAATAATTTTTGATATACATAGCTAGTGGAATATTCTGTATAAAAGAAGAGCAAAAAAGATAGAAAAACAAAGACTAAAAGAAATAAAGCAAAACATTGAAAGAAGATATTAAATAATTAATGACAAGCAAAAAAGAATATTAATGAGTCTATTGAACAAACTATTAAATAAAATAAGAATAGACAGACTTGTTGAGCTAGAAAACTTGAATAAAATGCTAATAACAAACCCACAAGAAGTGCTTAAAAAGACCAAAAAGCATTTTTCAAAACAATTCAGAATGTGAAACTTTCAAAGCTATAAGATTAGAAACAGATAAAAGAAAATATATTAGCCAAAAGAGAAAATTAATAAAATATAGTATAAACAGCTAAATCAGGATATTACAGAAGAAGAATGGCTAGAAATGTTATCAGAACTTAAAAATAATACAGCCCTAGATGTGTCAAAAATTATATATATACTAATCAAAGCAGCTAGCAATCAGACTCAAAAAATCTTTAGAAAACTAGCAGAAATATGCATCAAAATAGAGTTAATTTCCAGAAAATAAAAGATGTCACAAATTTACTTAATATTAAAAAACTTAGATTGGCAATATAATCTGAGCAATGTAAGACCAATAGCTTGCTAGAAACCTTGCAAAAATGCACAACCAAAATATTTACTAAAAGATTGATGCAAATATTTTGTGAAAAAAATATATTAAAAGAACCAAAGTTTGCAAGGCTGCCAGGTGGATTAACAGAAAAGCCAGTACATATTATTAATGCAATAATGGAAGATACAAAAGATAACAAAAAGAACTTTGGCTAGTATTTTAAAATATGAAAAAGGCCTTTGATTCAGTATTATTAGTAGCATTAGATTTGGTACTTAAAAGACTTAAAATACCAAAAACAGCAAGTATCTTTATTTTAAATTTGTTTGAAAATCAACAATCAAAAATTATTACAGACTTAGAAACAACAGAAACCTTTGAGATTAAAGATAATATTGAACAAGATAAAGTGATTTCACCTTTAGTATGAAGAATATTCTATGACTCATTATTAGAAAGAATCCAAATGATCCAAGTCTAGGCTATACATTATGCACTTCATACAATAATAGCATAGAGACTATGATACAAAAAATGAAAAAATGAAAACAAGCTGTAGTAGTATATGCAGATAATACAACATGAATTGCATCAAGAAAAACACAAATGGAAAAAATTATCAAAATAGCAGAAGATTTTTTTAACTTAAATAATATGCAAATTAATGGAAAAAAAACCAAACTCATTATGATGAATACTAAAGAAGAAAAGAAAAATAAAACAATTTTTTTTGGCAAAGAGTGGATTCAGTAAAAAGACTAAAAATAAAATTATATGATTTTTAGGAATTTGACTAAATTGCAAACTTAATAATTAATGATAAAGTCAAGAGCTAAAAAAATAATACAAATATTTATAAGGTTTCTAAATCCAAAAAAGCTAACAATCAGCCAAATATTACATATTAACAATATATGCATCATAACCAAGTTGACTTATATGCTACAAATAATAAAATTATTAAAAATTATACTAATCAACATATATATACTAATAATTGGTCTGGCAAAAAGAAAAATAAAAATTATATAATCTGTAAGGAATAGTATAATATATTACAAAAACTTGAATAACCTTAACTTATTATTAGACCAGTTACTGCTTAAGCAAATTACTAGTTTGCATAATCAACTCAATACAGCAGACTTAAAAGAAGCAGTAACCAATATAAGAATAGAAGATGATTTTTATTTAATATGAGCATCTAAAAACATGTGGCAAAAAAATATTCTTGAAACAAACACAAAGCTGTAAAAAAATAATTTGACATGTTTAACAATACTAAGAGCAAAAAAACTATAATTAGTTTTAAACTTTAATTATGAAAGCACAAATTTTAATAAGGAAAGCACAAGAATATATAAAATTTTAGAAAAAAATTTTATACCAATAGTCACACATAGATTAAAAGAGTTAGATATTATGTTTGTGCATTAGTTGATTAACAAAAAAGAAAACAAAATAATTATATGATAGCAATTAAGTTTTCTAAAAAAAGACAATACCAAAGATAGACCAGCAAAGTGGTTTAAAGTTCTAAAAATAAAAATGATAGAAGAGTCAAGCTGCAAAATAGTGAAGTCAGAATTTAGAATTATAGCTTTAAACAAAGAAAGAATTAAAATACAAGTAAAAAAACTATCAGATAATGTATGATAAAAAGTTTGTGTAGTTATTAACAATATACTAGCTCATGAAGAAGAAGAAGTAATAGTAGGAAGAGTAGTAGTTAGAACACCTAAAAACAGTACAAGTTAAACATTGAATAGCAACTTAACAACCAGAAAGACAAAAAATAATATTAGAAAAATGTAAAGAATGCAATTATAAAAACAATAGTACTAATAATAATTGTAAAAGAAAATACAAAAAACAGAAAATTCATAGAATAATTACAAGATACACAAATAGAAAAGATGTATAACAACTAGAAATTAACACAAATATGTTAGATTTTATTGTAAAAGAAAAAGATTGCAAGATCTTAAACTCCGAAAGATATTTAAAAGAAATTTGTATAGAAAACAGTGACATTAAAATAATTAAAAACCAAAAAATTAGTAATAATATTACAAAGTTACTAGTAAAAAAACATAAATACATTAAAGAAAACAATGTCTAGCAAAAGAAGTTGATCTTTTATACTGTTATAGAGTGGAAGCCTTCTTATTTCCACACTACAACAATGACACAGTACAGGGACTCTATGCGGTGTCCAAGAGGGAAGTATAGTTTTTGTTAGACATTGTCAAGAAACTATACCCATCTCTGAGGCAGTTCAATAATTATTACATAGTAGTTTATAGTTAAAGTCATTTATTAAAAAATAACAAGAAGGACTATCCTTAGGTGCCTGTCCTAAAGGATTCAAGGTATAATTTACAGGATAAGAAGAAGGTGAATTGTCTGTTTCTTGGGACTGAACTAACTTGAATTGAATGCTTTTTACTTGGGGAAATTTAGAGGGTTTATATATCTTTGGGTTTAAGCAACAAAGCGACAAAGCGACTAAGCGACAAAGTAACAAAGCGACTAAGCGACTAAGCGACTAAGTGACTAAGTGACAAAGCGACTAAGTGACTAAGCGACTAGTTTCACAAGCTTAAGGCATTAAAATGTTTAAAGTATTAAAGTAACTATAACTAATAAATAATACAATAATAGAAATTTATCCTATAACAATATGAATTACTATTATCTGATGTTCACATATTGGTGGTATATGATATATATCGAATTTCGCTATCATCAATTGCATATTCCTGAATTTTTTGTAAAATATTATCTCCAGCATTAAGGAGAATTTCTTTTAAATAGTTCTTACTAAGCATATTAGCTTGTGCATCAAGTTCTTTTATTATTCATTTAAATGCTTACGATTTAAGTACTAAAAATGGATGAAGATCCTCAATGATAAAAGCAGTAATATGATTATCAAGTTTTTTTTGTTTTGAATTATTGGGTATATATTTAGCTATTGTATTATACACTTGTATAATTGTCATTTGTAATAATTCTGCTAATACTTGGAATTTACAAGTTTCACTATCCTTTGGTACAATATTTACATGATTACTTTCTATCATAGCTTTTGATATATGGTGCCTACTTCTTAAGTGTTGCCAAAGGTTTGAGTTAGAACTATCTTTTTGATATTTTATACTTCGACAACTTTTATGACAGCAAGCCCAAGTTTCTATACTATTGGTTTCTATTATTTTATAAAAAGGTTTAACTGCACTACCACCCAGCCTTTTAAATTTTTTTTTTTCTATAATTTTTTAGTATCACTTTTTGGCAATGATGTAGAGGATTGGAATGAAATTTTACCAAGATTTAAACTGTTCATAATACTAATTTTTGATATGTTTGGACTAATATCTTGCACTAATATCATACTATTTGAATGTTCTGTATATTCAGCATTATCTGTTGTATTATCTATTTGGATCACTAAGTCATTCTAGCATTTATTTCAAATTTTGTAAATAATAAATCTAATATTAGATAATTAATACAAAGAAAAAGCATATATACTCACAAAATCTATAGATGGCTCTAAAATATGAATATGGTTGGGTTATATTAAGCCAGGCTTGATATACAGTTATTTGATTTTTGTATCATTTTAAAAATAATATCTAATAAATGTTTATTGTTATTAGAAGTTAGCAACTTAAAAGTATTTAATGATGAAATTTAAGTAAAAGTTCATAATATATGTTCAAGTTTAAAATGGTAATAAAATTTTAGCACCAGTATTAGGGATTTTATTTAAAAAAAAATATTAATTCTATATAAAATTCAATGAAATAGATGTGGGTGTAACTTTCTATGACACTTACATTCTATAGGTGTATTTAAAAAATTTTAAAATTTCACATGAATCTTGAATATGAACATACATACGTACATGCAAATGACAATGAAGAGAATTTTATTGCTTTAAAAAATTTCATAAGCCCATATAATCTTTAATGCAGAAGTACTTTTCTGTGAACACTTATAGCCTACAGCATAAAAGTCATTATACAAATCTCATTAAAACATAATATGCCCCACTTTGCACATCAGAGTCATAACCAACCATTTCTTGTTATAACCTTTATGCATAATAATAAGTTGAATTGAAATTTCAAAAATACATCCTCATGTATAAAAGCTGTATTTAACCTCTTACTCAAAGGTTTTATTGATTATTGTACACTTGCTTTGGTTACTAACAAACTCATCTTTCTGCAGACCTTTTTCTTAACTAATACATATATGATTGTAAAGTGGCTCTTTAAGTATCTGTTTTGCATAAGAAAAATCAGAAATAGAAGTTTAATTTTGTGGATCTACCTTCTTATTTATTCACTTTTGCATATGTATTATTATATCATAATAGACTCTAAATTCTATTGTAGATCTATTATAATAGGCACAATAGACTATAATGCTAAATTCTATTGTAGATCTAACATAATAGATACAATAAACTTCAAACTCTAACATAGACTTTTATTATTGCATTGATTACTTCACTTATGCTAATTATGATTGGTTCTGCACTTTCTACCCAGCACTATGTATACAAATAAGTGTCATTAAGAGAAAATCTGACATCAGGCTTTCAACTATATTTTGTACTGGACAAAATCAGTTTAATTTGTTAGGAATTATGTCCAGTACAAAATATAATTGAAAGTCTAATGACAGTTTTTCCTGGCAGCACTTAAATACAAAATGGTAGCTTTTCACTAATCATCGCTCAAGCCTTTTATATTTAATAAAAGTGTAAAAAAAAAAAATCCAATATATTTAATAATCTACTAACAAAAAAATACAATCGATGGAGACCTTTTATCAATGATCACTCAAGCCTTTCATTGAGATAATAATTTGCCTACAAGAATTTAGTGTGTTCTTAAAAATCTTTTTGGCTAGTTTATGTCAATTCTATTATTATTAAATATTATCAATACATTAGTGTATCAATATAACAAAGATTTATAATAAATGATAAACTATTTATTTTATTGATATTTGATTAGTTAAAAGTAATTTTCACTAATTAAAATTTAATTATTAACATATCTTTGGCCCATTGATTAAGATACCCTTGATTTATGGAGATGTTAATTGTTAAAGCTTTATCAATCCTGCAATTAGTCCTTTTCTTATACCAATCCTGTGCAAACTTGGTATTATTTATTTTACTTTAGGCAATTTTTAATCAGTTTTTGGGTTTTGTTTATTTGACCTGTTGACATAGGTTATGACCCAGGTTGATCCTTAATCCAAATTACTTTATCCAGTTACAATTTTCCGATCCAGATAACAACTCTACAAGTTTATAAGATAATGGTTTACACTTAATAACAAACAAACAAAACAGACAAAGCTCATTATAGCTAAGTCTTCACATCTCATTAAAATTGCAAACACTAAAAAATCACTAATACATATATATAATATATCATTAATACAGTCATTATTTCTACAATCGAATATCATCTTCATAACATAATTCTTAAGCAAAACACTTGTAACAAGATTCTTACAAACCATATTGGACTTGTTAAAAGCAAAACAAACTTAGTCGTACAACTTCTACTAGTACTTTACTTCATCTACAATTATATAATATTTGCAACATATGGGATATTCAACTACAACACATATTACAAACTATACTAAAAGACTTAACTCTTCTAATCTTCTTGATATTAGTATTCATATTCAACTTCAGCAACTTCAAAATAATTTTTGGTCACCTACTAGTATACTAATATACAATAATCCTACTATTGATGGACCAAACAAACCTTCTACTAACTTTAAAATTATTCAACTTTTTAAACATCTCAGTATAATATTTACTTCTAACCCAACTTACAACATTTCACATACTATTCAAAAGGGCTCTATCTTATTAGAATCTCTTCTCTGCTTACATTCTAAATACCTAATCTTTAAAAAACAACTTAAATATCATGGTATCTTATATTAGACCAACTTATCACATTTGATAATTTATGTTTACTGAACTGAAAACACATTTCTCCTCCTATCCACAAAATTTCAAAAGGCAAACAATCTCTTTGGTTTACATATTTAAAAGACCAAGTTACAAGTCACTCCTATAACTGTACACTATACTCACACTTACACCTACCTGACACTAACTACTATAGCTACACAACTGAACACTTCTCAACACATAAAAAACCCTGGCTTATTATAGTACTTGATAACCAAATCATTATTGGTAAAGCCAGAAGAAAACCTTCTCAATCTGGCACTGTACTTATTACTCACTGTCAATATCAAATTGAAGCACAATTTACCTGCTTATATTCACTTGCATTTATTTAATCAAAGGCATGTTCTGGTTGTTCTCTTAACTTACATAAAATCAATAACAAATATACAATTGTTATTTCTACAAATCTCTCAACTCAATTTTTTGATCGAGTTAACACAAATGACAAAACTCTTAACTTTAATGCCAATCATTTGGACCTCTTATACTCAGTTGCAATCAGACACCCTACCTAAACCCCAAGCCCACCTAATATTATTATTTCAACAAACTCAATTCCAACTATCTTTGAACCTTGTACACTAACTAATAAACTTCAACAAATTACTAATTACAACACAAACCAACAAGAACTTCATTTCTATACTGACAGCTCTGTTATAAATTTGGGTACTTCTCAATACTCTATGGGCATTGGATAGGTCCAAGTTGACAATAATTCTATACTGCATATATTTCAGGCACAAGTTAAACTTTGGCTATGTTTATTTAAATCAGAAGTTACTGCTATCTTATCAGCTCTTATTACTACCCCTAGAAACTGTATTGTAAATATATATACAAACTCTCAATCTGTAATTTCAAAATACCAAAACCTTTTAAATTTTTTTACTACTCTATCATATACATATACATCATATTTTTCACTTTGGAACACATTTGTTAACTTTATCAACTTATACAAAATTCAAATTATCTTTTACAAAGTCATTGCTCATCAAGATAATATATATAATAATTTAGCTGATCAACTTGCATATAACCATTATAACTTGCTATATCTTACTTTTATGCCATATAATATTTATAACCTAGCTTATACTCTTATTCTTGAAAACTTTTCTCTTGAACTACCAACTTGTTGCAATATTCGTACAATTTGTCATGCACATATTTATGCACTATGGATCACTCAAAACCACTTCCTTAAATGGGAAAAAATTCTTAATCAAATTAACTGGCAAGCCACTTGGCTGTATATCAACAACAA